TTAGTAGGATTGTTATAGAAAAGTATATTTAAAAAAAAGTTTATTAAATAGAAAACAGATTTTTAAAAACTACCTAATTTTGTTAGCATTTTGCTAATGGTGTTCAATTTTGAAACCAATATCTTGAATTGGAAAGCTGACTTGTTTAACTAATCTCATTCAAAGAATAAAATTATTTACACTTAAAGAAAAAGAAAAAATGAATGAGATATAAACAATCTTACTATAGTATTATATAGATAAGTAGATATATATGAAAAAAAACAACAACAACTGGAAAACAGTATACCTGCTTTTGGTAACCTATTGTGATACTGCAGCAGTTGCTGTAGGGATGCAGCTGTTCTTTTTGGTGTTGTTCAAAAACGTAATTTTTATGTTGGCTTTTAGTAAATTTAAAAGACATCACAACGGATTTAAAATACTCATAATAAAAAAAGCAAAACATAAAATGCTTCAAGGAGCCAAACTATAAACATAAAAGATGAAGAATGGAATCGAGATAAATAAATTGTATTTATATAGCTAAATATATTGCCTTGGGTTTTGGTAAATTTTAAAAGCAGTGAGTTCAATAAATGAAACATACCAAATAATTGTTTTTAACAAAAGAATGCAGCATCATTATATTATGATAATTAGATAATGAATCAATTCAACTTTCGACTTAAGATTTTAGGGAGGGGTATTTAAGAGGGCTTTAATTTGAAGTCAGGTTTAATTGGTGAGAAAACAATTAAAATTTTCATTAAAAAAGATCAAAACAAATCAAATATACAATGTAATATATATTTAAAAAAAAAAAAGTTACAAAATTAAAAGGAAAAACACCGAAACAAAAAATTAAAAAAAACCCGAAGAAAAAGCAGCAACTAAAAAGTCATAAATATCTCTACTGATAGAAGACATTTACAACCTTTTGGTTGCTGTTTTTTCTTCGGTGTCACCCAACACCCCGGTATGGATGAGCCCTCCATTTAAAGGAGGGCTTATCCATTCCGCCATGATCTTTCCATTTTTTGAAGGACCTCTCTGAGAGAGGTCCCGAAGAAAAATCCAAAAAAAAAGAACAGCTGCATCCCATACAAAACATATAAAATATAAAACACAGCCCTACCAGCTATACTTCCACCAGACACTAAAGACAAATATATACTTAAATAAATATAAAATAATCGATAAAATAATGTTAACATATAAATATATACATATCTAAATAATTGTTTTACCCATCCCCCTCATTTCATCCATAAAGTTGTCTAAGAAAAAAATAACTAAAGCTAAAAACAAAACTATAAACTAAACCAAAACTAGAAACTAAAGTAAACTTTAAATCTTCTAAATAATAATGCTTTATTTATTAAACTAATCATAATTTATACTTAGTTTTTGTTCCAACTTCCAAAAAAAGAAAGTATAGAATAAAGCTAAAGAACTTGATTTTTAAAAATTCCAGTGGCAGTACAAATAAACAAATTCCTATTAACAAATATCTAATAGCAAAAACACTGACTTATTTCCTTCTTCACTTCTGTATTTAAACAATAAAAGCACTTTAATGTTTAGATGTTAAAATATTGATAAAATATATATTAAATGCCACATTCAGCTAATGTAATTAATACCTTTATTAAATCTCTCTTGATTAACTAAAGAATTTAAATTTTAAATAAACTCTAACTAAATTTTAAAAAACAAACAACCAAAATAAATCTTCATATTAATAGTACGTTATTAAGTTGATTAATAGATCAAACAATTTAATCTACTCTAATAATCTACTACCTTATTAATAAACTTTAATTTTTTTTCTACGACTCAGTGTAACTATAATATAGATATTTTTAAAGTAAAAAAGAATTTAATATTATAATATGATTTTAAAAATCTGAAATTTTAAATCTACCTCGAAGAAAACAGATATATATTAAAAAGTATTTTTATTTCTTTTTAAAAATTTAAAAATGTTTTATAACTTACTTGTTTCGATATTATCACCAACGTCTAAATAGAAAAACAAACAAACATTCAAGTCGACTCATTCTTAAATCTTATAATATATATGATTTAAAAAACCTGAAATTTTAAATCTACCTCGTGAAAACAGATATATAATAAAAAGTATTTTTATTTCTTTTTAAAAATTTAAAAATGCTTTATAACTTACTTGTTTCATATTATTACCAACGTCTAAATAGAAAAACAAAGATATATGAGTTATATATATGATTTTAAAAACCTGAAACTTTAAATCTACCTCAAAGAAAACAGGTATATATTGAAAAGTATTTTTATTTCTTTTTAAAAATTTAAAAATGCTTTTTATATTGTCAATATTGTCATCATCTAAATAAAAATATTGTCATCATCTAAATAAAAATATTGTCATCATCTAAATAAAAAAACAAACAAACATTTAAGTCGACTCATTCTTAAATCTAGTTTAATTTCTTCAATAATAAAAAAAATTTAATCTTTGAGGATTAAATTCATTTACAAA